GATCAGTCATTAATGTTACCAAATATACAGATATTTGATATTCAGTGAGTCTTACTCTGCCCAACACATGCAATTTTGAAATGAAAAATCCAGTAAAGAAAACTACTAAAGGATTTGCCTTAACTAATATCCCCATTTTCTGTGGTATGCTGGAGCCTGTTGTTGCTAACTTTCGAGCACTGATTGTTAAATATTCAAGCATTTTGCCCACTGGTTGTTAAAATGTTGGTAGCTTGCAATTAGCCACAGTGAGAATATTTACAGCATGGGAATTGGCAAATGCTGCAATCAGAGGTGTTTTTTCCCTTTCGATCCCATGTTCCATTACACCACTGCAATTTCTAACCCCAACACTACACACCTGGTTTTAGAAAGAATTGTAGGAAAGGCAAGAGTCACTGATCACTTCTTGGGGGGAAAAGGTTTCAGTGATCCTATTGTGAAACCTTCCTGCCACCTTATTTGAAATCACTTACCAACCACTAAGGTGGTCCTCAAGTTATCTCGTTGCCAAAAACACAAAGTATGTGCAGGTCAGCACTGGTCATGAGCATGGAGCTGGAAGGAAAGGCAAGCCTGAATTAAGGTGCTCCGAGGTGCTTTCCTTCTGACAACACCTCTGAGCAGATGCAATGAGAGATGTGAGGCCTAATTTCCCCTAAATATATCTTCCACAAATTCAAGCAGAACTAAAAGTATGAGATACCTTAGTCATGTTACAGAGTGGAACCTTTCACAGTACCTTAATGTATGTAACATGTTGCATGCAAAATGAGAAAATAACACACCTGTGCTTAAAATATACTTATGTACTTTTAGAGCACGTTGTACCAGAAAATGTAAAAAAATTGAAAGATTACTTAGAACCCATTCTTCATGCTTCAGTGTATAATCCTTCGGGCCTCAACTTAACTATAAGGGTAAGTTGGCAGCATTTCTGCTTTTTCTGTTTTGAGTTTAGATCAAATGGACACGTCTAAACTAAGATTGGTTTTAGTTTTAAAGTATAGGTATCCATGAACGGTGGAAACAGCATCTTGAAAGTATATGGAGAGTGTTTATGTTTCTTCCATTTCCCTTGAGGTTATTATTTCCAAAGGTATCTGAAAATTGAAGTGAACGTTAACTTAACTATTTTTTGAGCTGATAGACATGGCGACTACGTTGCCTACTAAGGTGAAGCAGAAAGAGCGTTTCTAAAAGTGAGGGGGAAGTGGGCTCAGTATTCTCCAGCTGGATGTGCACCAACACATTTTCTGGTTCCTGCTGCCCCTAAGAACACATGAGGTGGATATTATCTAGGTAATTGTCGAGAAAGCCAATATAAGTTAGGGGACATATCAAAATCATGAATCTGAGGATTAGCGCAAAGTAGGCATCAAGGCCATGTTAGGTTTTATGTTGCTGTTTCTTCATTCTAAATATAAAGGGCAGTATCAGCTATCAAATCCTTCTGTTTCCAACTTTTGTCCTTCTCCCTCTATTTTTATTTTCAAAACTAAAGTATGTGTCCTCGGAAATGAAGTATATGTCCATGAGCCTTCAGGGGATTGGAATTTTTTAATGCGACATCTATAGGCGATCGGGAAAGTGGCCACATTTTTACGTGAGGGAACATACGTGTCGACACCGCTGATGACTGGGTGTGCTTTTTCCACAGGGCTCTGAGCTCTTTCACTTCAGAGTGTCCATTGTTCCAGGGGTCACCTTTTGTAACTTAGTTGAAGAATTTCAGGTACAGTGACTACACAGGTATCAAATGGGGTGATGGCTGGGGAGATAACATGACCACTGTCAGTCCAAGAGGCACTGAAGATTAAAAAATGGCAGAATTGGTGTGATGGACACGCCTTGGAGACAGGGGACCCTGGAGAATAGTGGTGACGTCAGTAATGATGCCATTAGAGCAAACGACAGGTGGCAGGGCCGACCGATGCTGGGGAAATTGTAATAAGTGACTGTATTTGTTGTTCCCTTTCCACTGCCCACATGTAGCTCAGGTTTCTGACTTTTGATGCCTTTCCTCTCACCCTGACCTTCCCACAGAGACATATATGTAACATTTTAGTTTCCAGTACTACCCTCCCTTTGGTTATTTGCATTATAATGGTAGAGTCTTAAATGCTCCCGAAGCTCTCACGATGCAAAAGAATTTGGAACCAAAACCAGTCGCCCCCAAATCACTTCATGCTGTACAGTGGCACTGTTTTGCTTATTCACATAATGATACCTGCTGCCTGTGAAGGGTGAGAGGGAATAAGGATTTGATTAAATTGATTGATGACTCATTCATTGTCAACTACTGGTACCATGTTATCAAAAACAAAATCAATCCCGCCCCTCTTTTCCTTTTTCTATCCTGGCCCTGCCCCAAGGCCAGCCCCAGTCACAGATCTGCACAACTACGATACTGGGCGGCCATGGCAGCCGTGCAGACACCTAAGACCATGAGAGATAATCCATCTCGCTAGATAGAGGAATCAGGAAAAGAGGCACCTGACATATGAAGAGCGTGAGAGGAAACCTCCATTATTTTTCTCTCTTTTCTCACCTCTTTGTCCCAAAGACAGCCTCAGTTTCAGGGGACAGCACAATAGTACAGGGAGCTAAAATTCTCCTGGGCTCTCAGCTTTCTTCTCAGGGGACGGGGGAAGAGGGCATCTGCAAGTATTGGGGGGAATACCCCTAAGAGAAGAGAACTGGCGGAGGAGATTCCTAATTCTGTATGTGAACTAGCACGACTACTGAGCAGCACATGAGCAGAACACACTTAACGAAGCATAGCGAACAAAACTATACTAGAAACACCACGCAAGCTCCAGAATAACCCGAGTGGCACAGGAACCAGGAAGACACACTAGCATCGCAAAGGCTTTGAACACTCAGCTGACACTGGAGCCACCACCCACAGAACATGAAGCCTAACTTGTGATCTCAACTCAACCGGTGTGATCAGCCGCTCAAACAAGACAAATCAACAGTTTCCAGAGAATTTTTAACAGAAACCAGGGTTTCACGCTATAATATCTTAAGTGTCCAGGATACAATCCAAAATTACTCAGTATACCAAGAACTAAGAAAATATAATCAATTCTGAAGAGAAAAGACAATGAGCAAATGACAACCCATAGAATTGTCAGGCAGATATTTTAAACCAGCTATTGTAGCCATGTGCCATTTTCAAGTGGATGGAAAGGGAGACATTGTCAGCAGAGAAATAGAAACTATATTAAAAAAGGACTAAATGGATAAGAATTGATAGCATGTAGGGACTGTTTCTAAGAAAACAGGTACCTCCTTGGGTCACTGGGAGGATGGCGGTACATTTAACTGGAGCTTTACCCTAAAGCAGTTAATCAGTCCTTTTTTCTTGTCCTTAGCATTTTCCCACACCACCCCACTGTCCTATTTTCATTCATCTCAGCTTCCTTCTACCTCAAAAGAGGATCTTGCTTTCTATTTCACAAAGAAAACGTAAGCCACTGGGCTTGAACCACCTTCCACATAATGGCACCCCACCTTGCCTGAGCTCTCGGAGAAGAACACACCTCTGGACCGCTCTGTCAATAATCTTAGCTCTCCTCTAGGAACTTGTTTTACTCATTATCCATTCAGGCGGAGGAACAATTTTGGACACACAGAGATTTCCCTATGTCCGCACTTATACAGAGGGTTTTCTAAAGAGAGGATAGTTTGCAGGAGCACATTGTTATTCCCTCCCCCGGAATGTCCCATCTTCTTCTCTTCTGTGAACCCACTTATTTTTCAAGACCCAGCTCGGGATGCATCTTCCATGCCTACCTGAGACCTGTAGGCGTTCCCTCGCTGTGTTCCCGCGGCTCTTGGCCCATTCCTCTGGCAACGGAAATGCAACATTTCCTGCCATCGAACTGTTCTATCTGCTTATCTCTGCCATGAAAGACATAGGCTAAAGGCATAGGATGATACATAGAATTTCTTTCTCCTATCTACTGTGTTACTTACCAAATTGTCAAGAGACTGTTTCCAAGCTGTGTGAATGCTGACTATCTGTATAAGTCTGGGCAGAATTTTGCTAAATGATGAATAGTGTCTGCACAACGTGGGAATCACGTAAAGTTCAATGTTTTGAATTGCTAGATATGGAAAGCTTAAAGACTGCTTTTTCTGTTGCAGATTTACGTGGATGAAGTGCCATTGCCGTTTCCAGGACACACACTTATTGCCATTGCAGCTGCCGTAGTGCTAGGGGGATTAATTTTTATAACATTTCTGCTTCAAATACGTAACATCCACCCATTGGATAAGTGCCGAAGATGGTTTAGAAGAAGCAAAGTGAACTTATCAAATGTCAGTTCCAGTCAGCTGGCTTATAGATGAAAATCTGATTAGTAGACATATGATTCTCATAATTTTCTTTTTATTTTGTGGTTTCATTAGACAATTTTTAGGATAATATATTTAAGTGTTCCTATAAAAACTAGATAAAATACTACAGAATTACCACTATAACTCAAATTGCTATTTATCAATACGTTTACCATTCCCTTCTCTTATTTTAAACATGCAGAATATTTCTTATATAGAAGGTTTTCCTTGAGGTTTTTTAGAAAAATAGAAAACGATGACCATGTCTGTGTGAACTGGGTTTTCTGTGTTTTTCAGCTTTTATTGACTGGAGCCCATTCTGTGGGACCAGAGCACCCGAGCCTTGCTCTTTTCAGTAGGAATATGAGTAGAACGTAGCCCTGCCAGGGTAAGACAGGTGGGGAAGGAGGCTAATCTGTGCATTCAGAGCCTCGTGGGATTTAAAGATGAAGCCATCTGGGTTTCTCAAGGCAACTTCAAAACTAGATGGTGGTCCCCAAAGAGAGGGAAATGTGATTCCCATCATGGAGGTGTCAGAAGAACATGGCAGCTGGGCGAGGTATTGGTTTATAAGCCTCCATGCAGCGCATAGAATTTCAAAAGATGTGCCCCTCTGTGTGCTGTCTCTGCACACCTGTTCCCAGGTGGTCAGGAGATGGCCAAGCCATTCAAAGATCAGACGTCAGTCTCCTGGACAAGGTCAGGAGGAGACGCACGCGGCTTTGACAGCATAGGAGAGGCCAGGCATCTGGTCCTGAAGAGCCCAGTTCTGAGAGCTGTAAAGCGAGGCCGTGCTGTATATCATGGAAGTTGTTTTGAGAGGGCTGGGGGCAAGGTGGATACAAGAACCAGACTCAGGAGCCAGGCATCTCAGGTTCGCCACCACTTCCTAGCTGTGTGTGACCTGGGCAAGTTACTTAACTTCTTTGTGCCTGAGTTTTTCCAGCTGTAAAATGGGGATAATAACACCTACATAATAGGGTTATTGTAAGGGCCAAAATGAATGAATACACGTCAAGTACTTAGAACGGTGCCCAGCTCTGTGACGACCATAGATATCAGCTGTTCTAGTTGTCGTTAGGTTGCAAGTAATAGAAAGCGATTCTAGTTATAATAAAAAGGGAAATTTATTGGAAGGATAGTACAGAAAGTCAGATAATCAAAGCAAAATCTGGGCAATGAGTTCTTGTCATGGGCAGGAATGAAACCTAGGAAACAAGAGTTTGTCAAGTCTTCAGAGCATAGCTTGGGCCAGGGGCCTACAGGTAACACATGGCACAGTGGTTAAAAGTGTAAGCGCCAGAATCTACTAAAACGGCCTGTGTTGTGGGTTTTTTTTAAATAAACTTTTTAATATTTTAAAATAGTTCAAATTTACAGAAAAGTTTTGAAGATAGTACAGGGGGTCCGTATATAAGCCACACTCAGCTGCCCCTGATATTAGCATCCTACAGCCTGATTTTTCTCGAGCTCCATCACTTAGTAGCTGTGTGGCCTTTGGAACGGTATATAACCTAAGGGGCTATCCCGTGGTCCACTACATGTCACCCTTTGGCCCATCAGCCTTTCAGCATGTAGACCCGTGCCGTGCACGCATCTGTCTTCCTGTACATGCCAAGATAATCCAGGTATTCTACATACAACCACAAATTCACTCACCTATTTCCCTCCCAAAAAAAGGTGACCCAAAGTCATGTGTAACTATGGGGTTCAGAGGTGATACCATAAAGCCACTGTTCTTGGAGCCTAAAAACCTGTAGGTGCTATTAATTTCTCTTAGTTTCTTCTCAAAGGGGGGGGGGGAATGGGGATAATTATTATATTTTATCAGAAAACAGGAAACGTGACTAGAGTTTGTGACCCTTTTTTCCGTAACTGATGCCAAGGGTGATGTCAGATTTCTCTCTCCGTCCCGCATTCCATGTGCTCCCTTGCCTTTGAACTGGCACCTCAGCTGATGAGGATCGCTTACCCAGAAACAGGACCGTCTTCATTTCTTCCTTTTCTTTTTTTTTTTAAGATTTTATTGGGGAATTAAGGGATGGGAACAGCACTAGGGAATCGGGGGAAGGGGAACAGACAAGTTGCTGTCCTTTTGTTCTTCAGTCTAGTTGTGGAGGATGTTGCTTCATGGCAGCTCACAAAAGCTCACGCCAGCTGCCGGCCAGCCCCACTGCAACCGATGCCGTTGCTGGCGACCCATGACAGCCCAGCTCCAGGTGGAGCTGTTGTTCACCATCTTAGCTGTAGAGGGAAGTGTCACTGGCCCTCATGTGGGATACGAACCGGGGCCCTGCTGCTCAGAGCTGGTGTCCCAAGCCAGCTCTTAACCAACGCGCCACTCGGCCAGCCTAGGGCCATCTTCATTTCTGAAGGATCTGAGCCTTTGGTAAACCTGCCCTTAGGTAATTGGTTATCTATGACCATGTACATTATTTCCCACTGATCTTTATCTTTGCATAAGGCCCAGAACCCACCAAATTGATCTTGGTCCTCATTGTACTATAGCATCTTTATTTTTCCACAATAAGATCCATTATCTTCTCTTTTGCCTGTTTTTTTTAATACACCAAAAATCAAAAATGGCTACAAGGCAGTCTTGTTTCCAGCTGAGTGGCATTATTATTGCGTTCAGTGGTAGAAGCATTTCTACACTGGTTAGATAGACCACTTGACCATCAGAGCCCAAAGTTGAGAGCACAAAAAACAAACCTTTTGGTAGTGGTTTATTAAGTGAAATCTTAAAAAGACCCATTCACTCTCTACCCCCTTGTTCCCCAAATTAATGTGTTCTAGCTGTAGGAAGCATCCCTATATATTGGGGATTGCTGACGTGAAACACATATTTCATCCAGGAGAGTTCACCAGTGTCCCATGGGCCACTGTGCATGAACTTTCAGTGGTCCTTCTTCTTGTATCTCCAGGTATGAAGACCACCTGTTTCTGGGTGATCGAGTCCACAATAATGTGACAAATCCTCAAGCCATCAATCTCTTGCCTCAGTTCTTTTTCTGAAGTGATTGAGGATTGGGTCAGAGACACATTGTGAGGAATTAAAATGTTCAGAGTCCCAAAGCACTAAAAAGATGATGGCATCTCGCCATGTGTAATTTTTTTAAGTCTTTTTTTTTAAAAAATATTTTATTGGGGAAATGAGGAAGGGGAACAGCCAAGTTGTTGCCCTTAGTCTTAGTTGTGAGGGCGCAGCTAGCTCAGCTCCAAGTCCAGTCACCATCTGGCCACCCGACGGTAGCCCGTGGCCGCTGAGCTCAAGGTGCCGTGTTCAATCTTAGTTGTGGGTGGGCATAGCCCACCATCCCCTGCGGGAGTCGAACTGGCAACCCTGTTGTTAGGAGCATGTGCTTTCACCAGCTGAGCCATCCTGCCACCTGTTGGCAGCTCAGTGGCAGCTCAGCTTGGGTGCAGCTCATTGGCCCATGTGGGAATCGAACCGATAACCCTGTTGCTCAGAGCTCACGCTCTTAACCAACTAAGCCACTCGGCCAGCCCCTCACCATGTGTAATTTAAATTAAAAATTTGATCTGGTCTTTGTCAATTTCCACTATGTATACTGTGGCCAAGGCCAAAAAGTGAGAAGATGGTGGTGTAGCCTGTCAACCTCACCTTCAGATACTTGCAGAATAGATCTGAGATTCGGGTGTGGTTTTATTAGATGGTACAGAAGAGTTTCATTCTAAAACAAAGTCAAGAAAACTGGGTCGGGTCCTGTTAAAAGGAGATAATATTACTCTGCTCCAAACTGTCTCCCATTAGAAACGATTAATGAAGTGAGAAATTGTGGTGAAGGCAATACAGTTTGGGTTTTTTTGGCATCCTTTGTTGGGAGCGTAGTCCTACAACATTTATTCACATTGTTTTGATTCCCCTTATGTTATTGCTGTAAATGCTGTGGTATTGGTTTTGTTTTCAAAAATTTGATATAACACAAAACTTAAATGTACGTGGAAATTAGAATAGCTTATTTGTAGAGCTCCTGATTGGAAAATTCTGAATAAATTTGCTAGGGAAAAGCCTGTGCCTAAAATTGAGTGATACGAGTATGCCACGGGCTTCATTGCTTGTCTGTACCGAGATGGCAGTGCCCATTCTGCAGTCATCATAGTGACCTCCCTGGACGTGGCCATCTGAAGCACCTCTTATTTCTAGCGACATCGGGGATCCGATTCTGACCACAGCACTCCCACCCTGACCCGGTCCTACCACACAGTGTGGCACTGAAGAGCTTGGGCTCCCAGAGTAGGGACATCTGGGATGGAATGCCGCCTTTGCCACATTCTAGCTGTGTCATCTTGGGAAAGTTATTTAAACTTCCCCGTGTCTCGGTTTCTTTGTCCATCTAATGATAACTATGTTACTTGTCTCATTGGATTGCTTGGGAATTGAAGGAGTTAATACACGTAAAGTGCTTAGCACAGAGCCCAGCACCTAGAAAGTGCTGTAGATGAGTTAGCTGTGTACAGGGGAGGCCAGGGAGCGTGCTGTAAAAGGTTCAGAGGCTGCCTTTATCAATCTGCTCCTAGTGACGAGAAGGGGGAGAGAGACTTCTATGTGTTATCAGCCTTTGAATTCTTCTCCCTTCATTGGGTCAGCTGCTTCCTGGCCTTCCAGTGTCACTTAGCATCATGCAGATATCGGGCAGGGTTTGCACGAGTCATTCCAATCCCTTAGAACCCAGCTAGCAGGCTTAGCTCGCATATTGAATACAGTATCAGTATGACAACGAATTAAGATTTGAGAACATGTTGTGTCCTTCCATCTTTGGTCACACATCTCAAAACTTCCGGCCCATAAAAATTTCCCCCGAGTTTTGACAATAAAATGAACACATTTCTACAATTTGAAATTCTGTGGTGTAACTGTTTTCTGTTCTGATTATGCTTAACACCCTCCCATTTACTTGGAGTCAGAATCCACCATTTGGCAGAGAGTGAGACCGACTAGAGGTATATTAGTTAAGATTTAGCCTGAATGGGAGGCACTGCAGGAAATG